GGTTTTAAAATGGCTTTTACCTTTTTGCAGAGTCACTGATCTTCTTCCCAACATCCCCTGTGCTCCCACACAAGGTGTCCTGGGAAGGTGTCCTGAGGTTTTCCCATTGGCCTTTGTTAACCCCTTTCTATTGGCTGTTGACCCTTCACCTGATGGTTTTTTCTATGTGACCCTGAACTTGTGATTGGTCCCCTTTTGACCCTCCTGAAAGCCTTATAAACCCCTACCCCACAATAAACTTCCTCTTTCGTCCGGTCCCTCCCTGGTGGTCTGTGTGCTCCTTGCGGGGTCGCAGGGCCACGTGCTGGGGCGGGGGGAAGGGCATTCACCTCGCAGGTAATGGGCTAGCAGCCTAAAGCCTGGAGGTCTCCCCCATTCCAACTAATCCGTCGGAAGAGCCTGCTCCCACTCTTCATCCACTGGCATGATGAGAACCAGTATGTGGAAGAGGTGAGGACTTTCTAGGCTCTGGTGTCCCCGTGGGAGGGGGCTGGGCTGCCTCCTGCCCTGGCACCTTGAAGGCTCCAGCCTTTTCTTGGCCTTGGTCCAGGGACACAGGTCCTGTGCCCTGGGCTGTGGTGCCATCTCCTGGACTCTGTTGCTCTGCAGGCCTCTGGGGAAGTGCTGATTCATGCACTCAGGTTCCTGAAGAGAAGGGATCTCAAGAACCTGCTGGAGGCGGACAAGCCATAGTGGTTCTGCAACTGCTTGGTAAGGATGGCCATGAAGCCCCAGCCTCAGGCTGGACCAGCCCCTGATGCCCAGAGTGTGGGGGTGGCACTGTGCCCCTGCCCACTGCTGCAGCCACCTGTGGGACAGCAACCTGCGCCCCACACGCTGCTGCCTTGCCTGGGTTGTGCGGGCTCCTCTGCAGGTTCCTCTGCCCCTGAGCCAGGGTGCCACTGGAGACCTGGCCCAGCTGGCCTATGGGGCAGGGCGGCCCTGCAGCTCTCAGGGAGCAGCCAGCCCTCTGCTCCCTACAAAGCCAGCCCCTGCAGCTGCTGCCCGGGCCTCAGGGCTGTGCAGGCAGGGGAGGCCAGTGCTGGGCGCAGGCAGCGCCTGGCCAAGGGGCAGAGCCCCAGTCAACCCTCTCCTCTGTGCCCTGCTGCTCTCTCCAGCTGGAAAAGGACAAGAGAAGAGCGGCCAAGTATGTGCACCAAGCCCTTCCATACCTGGAGAGCCCACAGGAGCCCCTTCCAGCTGATCCCATTGGGCCCTGCTCCCTGCTGGCCATGGCAAGAGCTGGGTGGGAGGGCCTTGACAGAGGGGCTCTTTGGGTTCCCTCAGTCGCTGGCTCTGACCTTGGTTCCTTTCTGTTCCAGCCCTTCGGTTCCCACTCATGACAGCGCTGCTATCTCAAGCCTAGCAGTTCTGTTAAATTCCTAAGAGCTGCAAAGAGACCTCAGTCTTCTGCATGTTCCAGCAAGCCCAAGCCTAGCTCCAGATTGTGGGGAGTAGGATGCCTCCTCTGTGGGGCAGCTGCCAGAATTCTATGGAGAACTGATTCTGGGAACTCTGTCTGACAGGGCCACCTGAGCCTGCGGGAAAGACCTCTCCACTGCAAACACTTCCTTTCAGACCAGCATGAGAATATGAAATCTGTGTTATAGACAGAGGCCTAGGAGGCTTTTTGTTGCCAGTTGTCCACAGGGCACCAGGGAAGAGGGGAAAAAGATTCCTTGTGCTCAGCAACATTTGCCCAAATGTGCAGTGGGGAAGGGAAAGTGGGCAGAACTCCAGAGCCCTTGGTGGTTCTGCTGGAGCCTCAACACTTCCAGCAGAGAAGATGGGCAGAGCCTGGAGCTGTGGGGATCCCTGAGAACCTCCACCTGGTTCGGAGGTGGCCACAAGCCCTGTGCCAGCCAGGAAGCAGCATCTGTGGCCTGCCTGTGTGTTGCTGTCTGGATTGCTTAGGGCTAGGAGATGCTTCCTGAGCTGCGCCGCTGCCAGGCCGGTTGTCGGGGCTGGGGGAGAGCCTGAAGGGATGGGGTGCTGGGAGGCCATGAAGGGCTGAGGTGCTGCGGAGGCCATGAAGGGCTGAGGTGCTGCGGAGGTCCTACCATGACAAGGGAGTGGGAAGCCCTGAGGGGAATGTGTGAGGGAGTGGGTGGCAGGAGGCTGCAAGGGGATAGGCTGGGCAGAGGAGGCCCTGAGGGGACAGGCTGTGGGAGGCCCTGAGCAATTGGGGGGCAGAGGCCATAAGCAACCCCCAGGCAGCCCCCTGGTTCCCTGCCAGCCGGCTGCTCTGACGCTTGCCCAGGGTGTCTCCCATCCCTGTGGCAGAAGTCCGATGGGACATGAACCTTGTGGTGCATCTGCTGTCCATCTCCTCCATGCAGGCACCTTACAAACATGCATGGACTTCTAAACTCTAAATCCAGGATGTTCTGGGAACAAGGGATAAAGGAGCACAAGCTGAAGAAACGTGGGGAGTCATGACAGGTCCAGGCGTGGAGGTAACTAAGCACTTTGATGTCTGTTGAATAGATGGCCAGGGTCACAAGCTCATGCTTTGCTGCCAGAGGATCTGTATTGGGTCTGTCTTAGAATGTGTTGGGTCTGGCTTCATTTCCCCATAGCAGCCATCACAGTGCTATGCTTTGCATTAGTAGCTAGAAAGGTGTTGAGAACACCCAAGTGGTTTGGCTACTGCTGAGCTGTGCTGGCGCAGCATCAACACTGTCTCTCAACATTCCCCCCCTCTCCAATTGAGGGCAAGTTCCTTGGAGGGGACACAACCGGGCCAGCTGACCCGAGCTAACCAAAGGGCTATTCCAGACCATATGATGTCAGCTCCGATATAAAAAGTAAGGAAAGGTGGAGGAGAGAGGGCCATTTATTGTTTACAGTGTTTGCCTTCTGAACAACCAGTACATGTACTGAAGCCCTGCTTCCCAGGAAGTGGCCAGACTTCGCTCGCTAATGGGAAGTAGAGAGAAAGTCTTCTTATTTTCCTCTTTACTTGTGCATACACAAACTTTGGTTTTTGCTTTAGGAAACTGTCTTGTCTCTACAAGTCATTTTCCATCTTACTCTCTCTCCGATGTCTGGCTGGGAAAGAGAGGGATAGAGTGGCTTGATGGGCACCTGGCATCCAGTCAAAGTCAACCCACTACAAGGATCCTGCTTTGGTCTTGCTGGAGGCTATTCCTTACCAATGCATGGCCCTCTATTATTCCTGGATCAAGTGTTCTGGACTCATGGGAACATGTGTGCCCTGTGTCCATCTGAGAGCAGCAACTGGCAGAACACATCTGCTTCTAGCACTTGGCTGTTCCTTCAGGGGGGTGGCACCTTAATCGGAGACATAGAACATGTTTGGATCCCAGAGTTCTCTCTATCCTCTTCCGCAGTGCACTGGATTTAAGCTGCTGGCCACAGCCAACTAGTTCCTTGCTGACCTGGAGCTTTATCAAGGCTTCTGTCTCTTGCAGTGCCCTCGAGACACAGATGTAGAATGGTGGGGAGATACTTCAGCCTACTCAGGCTGTTTAGGATGATGAAGTAGGAAGGCCGTGGGGCTGCCCCAGCACACTCCATGACATCTCAGTTCTGGCTTGTATGTCTGCATTACATGATTATTCACTTTCGTTCCCCACATTCCTGTTACATATTCCTGACATTTCCAAACACTTACTAGCATATATACAACATAAGGTCTCTGAGGGGCTTCACCGAGGGTCTCTGGTGGTTATCTCTGTATGGAGGCCCCAAAGTTCTGAGTGACCACCTTATGACAACTACTGGTTATACATCAACTGGGCGTTGCCTGCTCAGCTGCTTCAGCTCCCTTCTTCATTGTTTCCTCACCTTAGTTGGCTGATTTCTATAGACAAGCTGCACCTGAAGTTGCCAAGTGTTGCTGTGAGGCTGGGCAGTCAATAGAAAGCTGTTGTGGCCACTTTTCCTGAAGCCTTTTCCAAACCACGTGCAGTTGTGCCCACAGTATCCCGCTTTTGGCATGCTGGCCGGTGTGGGAGCCTGGCTGAGGAGGCCCAGGCGTTGTGGCTGCTGCTCCTCCTGTGCACAGCCTGCTGCTGTTGTCTGTGCCTTGGGCAGCAGCAACTGCGCGGCCCTGCCCAAGGTGCCCCGCGCCCTCCCCATGCTGGCAGCAGCTCTGTGGGCCCAGAGCTCTGGCTCAGTGGGCTCTGGGCCACAGCCCATGGGCTGGGCAGCAGCAGGGACACGGGCTGGCTCCCAGCCCTGCCTGTGCCCCTGCCCCTGGCTGGCAGCACCCAGCGGATGTGCCCTGCCAGGGCCCCCTTGCCCTCCTTGTCCCCAGGCAGGCCAGCCTGGCCCCCTCGGGGTGTCCCCACCCTCCTGCCCAGGCCTCCAGACCTTCTGCCACAGGGATAGGAGATGTCCTGGGCAAGCGTCAGAGCAGCTGGCTGGCAGGGAACCAGGGGGCTGCTTATGGCCTCTGCCCCCAATTGCTCAGGGCTTCCTGAGCACCCTGTCCCCTCAGGGCATCCTCTGCCCGGCCTGTCCTCCTGAAACCTCCTGCCACCCACCCCCTCACACATTCCCCTCAGGGCTTCCCACTCCCTTGTCATGGCAGGGCCTCCGCAGCACCTCAGCCCTTCATGGCCTCCCAGCGCCCCATCCATTCAGGCTCTCCCCCAGCCCCAACAACCTGCCTGGCAGCGGCACAGCCCTGAAGGAGCTCCACAGCAGCTGGCTCAGGAGGCACCTCCCAGCCCTCAGCAATCCCAACAGCAACACACGGGTAGGTCACAGATGCTGCTTCCTGGCTGGCACAGGGTCTGTGGCCACCTCCGAGGACCAGGTTCTCAGCGATCCCCACAGCTCCAGGCTCTGCCCATCTGCTCTGCTCGAAGTGTTGAGGCTCCAGCAGAAGCCCCCAAGGCTAAGGGCCTTTTGGGCACTTTCCCTTCTCCACTGCACATTTGGGCAAGTGTTGTGGAGCACAAGGGCCCTTTTTTCCCTCTTCCCAGATGCCCTGTGGACACCAGGCACCTAAAAAACCTCCGGAGCCTCTGTGTATGCTAAGAGGAATTTCATATTCTCAAGCTGGGGTAACAGGATGAGAAGGGTCTTTCCTGCAGGCTCAGGTGGTCCCATCAGACAGGGTTCCCAAGATCAGTTCTCCACTGACCTCTGGCAGCTGCACCACAGAGGAGCCTTCCTATTCTGCACATTCTGGACCTGATCTCCAAGCTGCTGGAACCTGGAGAAGACTGAGGTCTCTGAACAGATCCTAGGATTTTCTGGGTTTGAATTGCCAGGCTTCTGATGGCAGCGCTGTCATGAGTCATGCTTTCAATAACTGAAACAGAAAAGAATGGAGCCAAGGCCGGAGACTAAATCTGTGGTGACCTAAGAAGCCAATCCTGACAGGACCATCCTACCCAACTCTTGCCATGGCCAGGAGGGAGCAGGGCCCAACAGGATCAGTCGGGAGGTGCTGGCCACCAATACCTCCCGTGCCCCTGAAATCTCTCCCTGCTCTGCCCAAGCCATTCCTCATCCGTGCAGGGAGCAGAGCCCTCCACAGCCGGGGCAGGATTGCAGCTCCCTGCCCAGGGTCTGTGTTCCCCTCACCAGCCCCCACTGCCCTCACTCACCATCAATGACGATCTGCAGCTCTACCAGCTGTCCCTTCAGGTACCTCCCGGCCATCCCTGAGAACACAGATCCTATCAGGGCCCCAGTGGCACAGCTCCCCCCCAGTGGTGCTGCCAGCCTGGCCACATGCCCTGCTGCCCTGGCAGGGCTGAGCCCAGGGCCTTCCCGCCTCGGGACGCCCCAGCCCTGGGCTGGCACAGGGCAGCAGCCACCAGGGCACTCGGGGCTCCACAGCACATCCCTGGGCCGCATCCTGCTGCCGCTGCAGCAGCCAGGGCTGGGGCTGAGCTGCAG